AAGAGGGCTAGCAGATCAGGCTATCAGGGAGGGCAGCTGGGAAGGACCAGGCCTGCAAAGGAGGGCAGTTGGGGGGAACCAACTTGTAGGGGAGGGCAGTTGGGGGTGACCAGCCTGCAGGGGAGGGCAGTTTCGGACAAACAGGCCAGCAGAGGAGGGCAATTAGGGGTAATCGGGCCAATAGGGCAGCAGTTAGGCATCGATCAGGCTGGCAGGGGAGTGGTTAGGGGGTGATCAGGCTGGCAGGCAGAAACGGTTAGGGGAAATCAGGCAAGCAGGCGAGTGAATGGTTGGGAGTCAGCAGTCCTAGATTGTGAGAGGGGCCCCAGTTTGGTGAGGGTGCAGGCTGGGCTGAGGGACACCCCTCCACACACACACACACACACACACACACACACACACACACACACCCCGTGCATGAATTTTGTGCACTGGGTCTCTAGTTATAAATAAAGCCATGACAAGCATCTTCATGTATATCTTTCTCACATTTCAGATCATTTCTTAAAGTAGATTCCTAGATATAGATTCTGATAAGCATTATAAGCATTGCCAAATTACTTTCCCAAAAGGTTCTACAATTTACATTTTTTTCAGCATGAGTGAGCATGCCCATTTTCACCACACCCTTGACAGCTGGACGACATAATTGTTTTTAATTTTGTAATTTAATTGCCTTCTAGGTCTTGTCTATGAGTATATATTTTCATATAGCATCAGTCTGATGTACCTCCTATTTTATATTCCTCTCCCCCATTAAAATCACTTTTATTTTGTATATTTAATAATAAAAACCCAGGGAATAGAAACTTTTGTAATATATGCAAATACCAAGTAGGTGGGTCTTTTGTGTGCATTTTTCTCTCTCCTTCAAAAGTCCATATTCCCACATTATCATAAATTGGCAGTCAGCCTCTTCTCTTCGGCACCTGCCAGTGGCTATCTTTACCTAGTTGACTAGGCTATATATACATATACTGTGTGTGTATGTATATTTTAAACACATCTCACATCTTAAAGTCTTTCATACCCCCCATATAACCATGTACCTCTACTTGCTGAGTCTTTTTTGCCAGTGTTTGCTTCCATAATGCCATTTTTTCAAGCACTGTTCCCCTGAAGATTTTTTTCTGTGCCTTTTTACCTTTCTGCTTACCCAGTACAAAGACCGAATATACTTTTACAAAGAAACCTTAAATTATCTCAACTTTTTTTAACTAGCAGTGAATCTTTTTTAAAATATGTTTTTATTGATTTTCATAGAAAGGAAAGGGAGAGAAACATCAATGCATCAACATCAATCAGCATGCCTTCTGCTGGGGAATATAGCCTGAAACCAGGCACGTGCCCTGACTGGGAATCAAACCAGTAGACTTCTTTGTGCATGGTTCAACACTCAACCACTGAGCCATACTGGCCGGGCTTAGCATACTTTAATGCATTCAGACCTTTTTATACTCAAAAAGCATTTTATCACCCTTCTCCAATACCTATTTCATTCTGTATTTACAGTTCCTGTGCTCTGTGTATACTTATTTTCTAAATATCCTCTTCCACATCTTCATTTCACTTAAATGCTTTAAAAAAAAATTCTCCCTTTCTTTTGGAGTCTTCTTCCAAAGCAAAGTTTTCTGTCTTTTGTCAGTCATCATTCTACCTTTCACTTTTAACCTCTCTGGTAATTTCATTTTCTCACCCTTCTCCAGAAGCTCTCACTCTGATATTGTATATGTAGTGTTGAGTGCTTCTCAATAAATATCTGCTTTTTTAGAAAAATATTTTATTGATTTCAGCGAGGAAGGGAGAGGGAGAGTTAGATAGAAACATCAGTGATGAAAGAGAATCATTAATTGGCTGCCTTCTGCATGCCTCCCACTGGGGATTGAGCCTGCAACAGTATGTGCCCTTGACCAGAATCAAACCTGGGACCCTTGGGTCCGCAGGCCAACGCTCTATCCACTGAGCCAAACCGGCCAGGACAAAAAATATCTGCTTTTTAAAAAAGTGAAATCTAAACTAGTAGCACAGAAATGACCCCTGGGACAATGAGGTCTCCACTTGAAAGCTTCAAATATAGATTTTCCTGCTAATAATATTGAATGGTGGAGTTCTATATAACATCTGAAATAAGGTGGTTGCTTAAACCACACAAAATGTACACTATTGTGAAATGACAATGAATCATTGATTTTACACTTCTATTTTGATTGATCTGAGAAATAAAACATCTTAGAGAAAGTAATTTTATATGGGTTATATTGAGCATTAATTCTTCAGGGTAATTAGGACTTAGAAATGTTTACGTAGTACTCTCTCATAGTCAAATGTTGAAATACCTTCCAATGATGTAAGGAACTCATATTCCACAAGGCATTACAACCCATTTTGTACTGCTATTAATTATTGTAACCGCTCATCCTTGTATTGGTTTTAAAATCTATAGTAGTTATGTTTCTTTTTTTAAAATATTTTTATTGATTTCAGAGAGGAAAGTAGAGGGAGAGAGAGAGAGAAACATCAATGATGAGAGAGAATCATTGATTGGCTGCCTCCTGCACGCGCCCTACTGGGGATCAAGCACACAACCTGGGCTTATGCCCTTGACCAGAATTGAATCTGGGACCCTTCAGTTCATAGGCCGATACTCTTATCTACAAAGCCAAACCCCCTAGGCCTAGTTAATTTCTTGATTTTAATTCTGCCCTCACGTTTCACAGAATCTGGATCCCTCTTCTATGTGAAAGCATCTTAAATATCTAAAGGCAGTTATTCTATCCTCCATATCCCTCTCCTCACAATTTTTTTTCCTTTGTGATAAACACACTTAGCTCTTACAACTATTTCTCATAGGACACCATTTTCATCATCCTGATTGCTCTTTAGGGCCATTACACTTTGTTAATGTGTGTAATGTCCCTTCTAAAATTTGTTCAGAATTTAAAATAATATTCAGAGTATAGCTGAATTGGCTCTGGATGTTGCACATCTGGACATTAATGCAGCCTGAAGTTGCTTTAAGTTTTTTATCAGCCATGTAATGTTGGCTCATAATGAATTTGTAATTAACTAAAATCCCTAGATTTTATTCTGCTTTGCCTTAACGTGACTTCTTTCCAAATCAAGTTTCCATCTTCCTTTAGTTGTACAGCATATTTTTCAAGTCAGATTGTAAAACTTTACACATATCCTTGTTAATTTATCTCATTAGCCTATCAGCTAGCCTTGGTTTCTTTGAATCTTGATTTTTGACATCCAGTTTATGCTGATTGAACAAAGGACCTTGAAACTGGTATCAGAATATTTTCAGATATCTGAGAAACAATCAAAAGCCATGGAGCCGAAACCGGTTTGGCTCAGTGGATAGAGCGTCAGCCTGCAGACTGAAAGGTCCCAGGTTCGATTCTGGTCAAGGGCATGTACCTTGGTTGCGGGCACATCCCCAGTAGGGGGTGTGCAAGAGGCAGCTGATGGATGATTCTCTCATTGATGTTTCTAACCTTCTATCCCTCTCCCTTCCTCTTTGTAAAAAATCAATAAAATATATATTTTTTAAAAGTCATGGAGATTCTTCCAAAAATTGTATGCAGCTATAACTCAGCTTTTGAGGTATATGTGGATTAATACCATTGTAAACTGACATAGTCAAGAAGGACTGATGTCCATTGCCAGCCCACAAGACAGAAGCCTTGTTGAATATTAAGAGGGATGATGTTCCAAGTCATACTGTGCCGACATAATGTCAAAAGAGCTGGTTATTCTTCCTAAGAAATCAATTAATGCACTTATGAAGTAGAGACAGAGACATTGTGACTGTTCTTTTATTTTGCATTGAAAGCATAGAGTAGTGTTCGGAACTGTGTGAAATTCTGGAAAATCAGATTTGCCTGAGGCAACTCCAATTTCAGCCTATTGTCCCAAGGTAATTGTTAGTAGCATCAGCTTTCAGTTTCAAAAAGTATCTAGGTTTTGAGGATAAGTAACTGACCATCCTTCTCATAATCCAACTAGTTCCTCTTGTTTTTGTTTTTGTTTTTTTAACCTGGGTTAAAGATTACACACTTATGATTTGGCAGATGTAATGAGGCTGCAATGGTACTTCTTTTTTTAATGTGTTTTATTGATTTTTTTACTGAGAGGAAGGGAGAGGGATAGAGAGTTAGAAACATCAATGAGAGCGAAACATCTGTCACACTCCTGCACATTCCCTACTGGGTATGTGCCCGTAACCAAGGTACATGCCCTTGACCAGAATCGAACCTGAGGCCCTTGAGTCCACAGGCCGACGCTCTACCCACTGAGCCAAACCAGTTAGAGCTGCAGTGGTACTTCTTATATTTAAACTTCCTTGACCATGGGAAGTTGACAGCAAAAGGAACTACACATACTGTACTTAGTATTCCTCCTGAGCCACCCTCTAGAGGGCAGTAGTATATACATCTAAAATGATCCAATTTCAATGAAAAATGCCCTCGTTTATGCATGAAAATCAGAAACTTGATGTACTTAAAGAACCCATTGGAATCATTATTGTGAATACTTTCTCTTTTGTTAAGCAAAAAAAATATTAAAATTAATTCATTAGCATTCTGAACATTCTTTTTTTTAAATTGTAGAAACTGAACTTTGATGCCTCGAATATATAATAATCCATTATAACAATTATGCATAGACTTTAAGAATCTGCATATTTTATGCTTTCATGTTTTCCCTAATTAATGATTTCACATGGTTAATTTTAATATATTCTGCATCACAGTTTCTATATTTGTGTGAAAATAAGCACTTAAAAATGAATAGTTTTGTTCTACTTGCTTAAGTATTTCCTCTAAAAGAGAAAACAAAAATGCTAGATTTTACTTTATGACTTAAAACATGTGGTAATGTAGAACTCTAGTATTTAGAATTAGAATGGTTTTTAGAGCTTGTGTAATTTTATAAGTGGATAATTTGTTAGTTCCTAATATCAAAAGTGATTTCCTAATGTAATGTTCTCTTTTTAGAAAAGGTGGACAAGTCCTATTTTCAAGAGAAGATGACTTTTAACTGTTTTGGAGGATCTAAAACTTGTGTACCTGCAGCCATCGATAAGGATGAAGAATTTGTAGAAGAGTTTAATAGAATAAAAACTTTTGCTAATTTTCCAAGTAGTAGTCCTGTTTCAGCATCAACGCTAGCACGAGCTGGTTTTCTATATACTGGTGAAGGAGACACCGTGCAGTGCTTTAGTTGTCACGCAGCAGTAGATAGATGGCAGTATGGAGACTCAGCAGTTGGAAGACACAGGAAAGTATCCCCAAATTGCAGATTTATCAATGGCTATTATTTTGAAAATAATACCGCGCAACCTACCAATTCTGGCATCCAGAATTGTCAGTACAAAGCTGAAAACTACCTGGGAGACAGAAATCATTTTGCTTTAGACAGGTCATCTGAGACTCATGCAGACTATCTTTTGAGAACTGGACAGGTTGTAGATATGTCCGACACTGTATACCCGAGGAACCCTGCCATGTGTAGTGAAGAAGCTCGATTAAAGTCATTTCAGAACTGGCCAGACTATGCCCACTTAACCCCAAGAGAGTTAGCTAGTGCTGGGCTCTACTATACAGGTGTTGATGACCAAGTGCAGTGCTTTTGTTGTGGTGGAAAACTGAAAAATTGGGAACCTTGTGATCGTGCATGGTCAGAACACAGGCGACACTTTCCCAATTGCTTCTTTGTTTTGGGACGGAATGTTAATATTCGAAATGAATCTGATGTCCTGGGTTCTGATAGGAATTTCCCAAATTCAACAAATTCTCCAAGAAACCCATCCATGGCAGATTATGAAGCACGGATCATTACTTTTGGGACGTGGATGTACTCTGTTAACAAGGAGCAGCTTGCAAGAGCTGGATTTTATGCTTTAGGTAAACTTTACTATAAAACCAGGCTAATAGATAACTTCCCAACTATCCCAGGGCTTCTAAAAAGTAAATAGATTTCTTTAGCCCCTTGAACTGGTAAATATTTAGGTATGGTCTGGCATGATTATGACATTATTCTGTTAACCCTTACGTTGAATATGTAATGCAACCACTGAATTTATGTGAAAGACTACTGTATTATGAGTCATGTTTATATTCGTGTAATTGTTTTTTGGAGAAGGATGACATGTAAAAGATTATAGGTATCCCTGATAAAACAATGGGTCTGATAGCAATACTAATACATTATGCATAAAACTAATTTATTGAATGCGTACTCTATGTGCTCAATATATATATATTATATACATTTTCTCTGAACCTCTCAAGAAGAGCTAATATTAGAGAGTTTAGTTTGGCTGATAGTAAAATTGATATTAAAATTAGTATCTGCCTTTTGTACAGAGATTATATTTGAAAGCTGCCCTGTATGATACTTTATTATTTCAAATGGACTACCTTAGACATGTCAGGAAGAGCCATTAGTGTGATGGCTTCAAGGGATTTTCAGAAAAATTTACACCGTTATGTATCTGATCCATTTATAATACTTTAGGATTGAATAGTGCGAAAATACCAAGTATTTCAATATTTTATTTATATAATCTCACATAGCAATCTTGAAAGTTATTGTCATGTAGCTACAACCTTAGAGAAACTTATCTTCTAACTTCATTATACATTAAACTTTATTATTAAAGTTTCACAGTTTGAAAAGGTATAGTATTGATGGCCTCAAATGTCATGTTTAAAAAAGAATGTACTAGCCCTGGCTGGTGTGCTCAATGATTAGAGCATCAGTCTTTGCACCAGTGGGTCAAGGTTTTGATTCCTTGTCAAAGGGCATGAACCTGGGTTACAGGTCTGATCCCTGGCCCCATGTGGGAGGCAACCAATCAACGTGTCTTTCTCCCCCCACCCCTCTTTACCTCCCTCCCCCCATCCCTCCCTCACGCTCTCTTCCACTCTGAAAATCCATGGAAAAAATATCTTTGCTCCTCGATGAGGATAAAAAAAAAAAGAATAACAATTTTAATTTTCTATATAAAAATTGGGCTATTTTACTTTTGTAATCTGTAAAATACCTCAAGTTGAATTAGTGAATTTAATGTGTATTTCCTCTTAAATGGTCATATCTGTTACTTAGATGTGAATTTGAATGTCTTCTTTTAAGCTCTGAGATTTTTATGTAAATTTAGAAATGCTTAATTTCATGGTGTTAAAATGTTTTTTTTTAAATTCATTTTAGAGAGGGGGGGAGAGAGAGAGAAACATCAATGTGTTGTTCCACTTATTTATGTATTCAATGGTTGATACCTGTATGTGCCCTGACCGGGGATCAAACCCGCAACCTTTGTGTATCGGGATGATGCTCTAACCAACTGAGCTACCCCGGCCAGGTAGCTCATTGATTGGTTGCCTCCCACATGGGGCCAGGGTATTTTTGTGTAAGCTTCTGATTGTACAAAATACATGTATTTTCACTTGTGTGTTTTCTTAGGTGAAGGTGATAAAGTAAAGTGCTTTCAATGTGGAGGAGGGCTAACTAATTGGAAGCCCAATGAAGACCCTTGGGAAGAACATGCTAAGTGGTATCCAGGGTAAGGTATTTCAATATTTATTAAGTAAAAGCCAAATTGGACAGTATGCAGTGGGAAGACTTGAATAACTTTTCACCTCAACTATTTTTGCCTTCCCATGGCTTGAAATTTACACCTGGTTTCTAAAAATGGGGTCACCTACTTTATAGGAGAAAAACACCAAAGACTTCTCTGGTGATGAAAACAGTATTGCTTGTATATTATATTTATGACATTCAGATGGTTCCATTTCTAAACATAAAGTATGCATAGGAGGAATGTATACTTTAGCTGTTGGAAGTAGGCTCTTTTACACTGGGCACAAGGGAACCCATTGCCAAGGAGATTCCTAAAGAACTCATCACACCCTTTAGCAAACATTATTGTTTCTCACTGATTTTAAGATACAAAATTGTGTACATTTTCCAATCATTGAAATTGGATACATCTGGTGGTGGGCCATACATCTGGTGGTGGGCCATAAGTTAATTAGCAACAATGGTACATAAAGCAATCATGCTTTGTACAGTCAATGGCATCTTAGAGTGATGATGACATACTCTAAATGTGTCTGCCATTTTTGTCTCTTTATTTTTTAAATTCATTCATTTTTCCCCATTTGCCTCTTTAAAATAAAATAACATATACAGAAGTGGTATGCGTTTTTTTTATCTACAAAATAGTACAACTTGAGAGTAATCATTTGAAAATAAATCTTAACCTTAAAAAGCTTTAACAGGGAATGTTGAAAGCCTAAAGAATTCTTTTGGAATGCACAATTGGTTAATCCTCTAAATAACATTTGTTAAGATTAACTATTTAAAACTTAGAAAAAATGTTAAAGTGATAATTTAATAATTTGCTTAAAAGTTGTAAGTTTTCAAATTGATTTAATTTTTTTTTTTTTATTGATTTCAAAGAGGTAGGGGAAGGGAGGGAAAGAGATGGAAATGTCAGTGATGAGAGTGAATCATTGATAAGCTGCCTCCTGCATGTCCCACACTGGGGATTGAGCCTACAACTCTGGCATTTACCTGACTGTGACCTCCTGGTTCATTGGTTGATGCTCAAACATTGAGCCATGCCAGCAGGGCAAGTAACATTTTGTTTTGTGGCTCCTTAGAAATACTGAAAAGCAAGTTAATGGAATTAAGATGGTGGATATTATATCATACCCTTTACTAATTTTTCAGTTACTAAAGTTTAACCTTCTTGTTTAGGTGTAAATATCTGTTAGAAGAGAAGGGACAAGAATATATAAACAACATTCATTTAACTCATTCACTCGAGGAGTCTGTGGTAAGTCAAATATTGTAGAATATATATTTTCAGGTATTATATACTTTGTTTTGCAATGATTCTTGGTGTAAAATTTGCAGTGTAGTGCTTTAAATTAATGTATGGTGAACTTTAAAGGAGAGATCTTGAAAAGTGTTTTTCTTTTTGTTAAATATTTTTGTTGATTTCAGAGTGGAAGGGAGAGAGAAAGATAGATAGAAGCATCAGTGATCAGAGAGAATCATTGATCGGCTGCCTCCTGCACTCCTGAGGATTGAGCCTGAAACCCAGGCATGTGTCCTGACCAGGAATCGAACCATGACCTCTTGGTTCATAGGTCAACATTCAGCTACTGAGCCACACTGGCCAGGCTCTCTGTTATTCTTAATCTGAAGCAAATTTGTGAAAAGGGGATTATGATTAACTGAATTTAATATCACTATAGGCAAAAATGGTCTTGAACTGAAATACTTGCATCTCTCAATCTTTTGAAATTTGTACTGTGTTTTGTACTCATAGTTTTAAACTTTCCACAGACAATAAAATCTCCAAAAGATATCTAAATTGATATTGTCACCTAGGGGGGCCAAGGTATCAATTAGTACCATGTGAAAAGAGGCCTGGAGTAGAATGGAAGACCAGAATTGCCATTATTGTTTTGCCGTGAGCTATATTGCCTCAATCAAGTTGAATCTTCCTGATTGCCAGCTTCTTGTCTGTAAAGTGAATGGCTTGGGTTAGATGATCTTTTAACTTCCTTCTAGCTTCATCAGGCTATGCCTCTTGTGAATATTCATATGTTGAATTGGAATAAAGCCAATTTTAACCTGTTAACCGAGCGGGACCTATAAATACATCAAACATAAGCACTATCGGGAACGGGTAGGACATATGAATACGTCCTTGAAATATATGTTGCGCCCTGAGAGGGATGGTATATATTTTTTGTAAACTTTTTTTTTAATATATTGATTTTCTTACAGAGAGGAAGGGAGAGAGATAGAGAGCTAGAAACATCGATGAGAGAGAAACATCGACCAGCTGCCTCTTGCACACCCCCTACCGGGGATGTGCCCGCAACCAATGTACATGCCCTTGGCCGGAATCGAACCTGGGACCTTTCAGTCTGCAGACCGACGCTCTACCGCTGAGCCAAATGGCTTCGGCTGTAATCTTTATAATTGTTTGTAAAATTTATAAATTTTTAATTCGATGTTTCCATTTTTTTGTTGGTATTCTTTTCTATTTGTTTGTAATTTTGTATTTTCCTTTGTGCTTTATATATAAATAAACGAAAAAAATATATATTTCATTTCTTTTAATTAAGTATAAATAAAAAAAAATAATAATATAAAATTACGTCCGCTGCCGAAACCGGTTTGGCTCAATGGATAGAGCGTTAGCTTGGGGACTGACGGGTCCCAGGTTCGATTCTGATCAAGGGCATGTACCTTGGTTGCAGGCATATCCCTAGTAGGGGGTGTGCAAGAGGCAGCTGATCGATGACTCTCTCATCGATGTTTCTAACTCTCTATCTCTCTCCCTTCCTCTCTGTACAAAATCAATAAAATATATTTTAAAAAAAATTATGTCCGCTGGGTGTGACATACTGGCAAATCCTAGTGAAAGAGTATGCGCCCGTTGTATGTTGCGTAATTAAAAAGGGAACTCCCCGGTTAACAGGTTAAGTTCATGATTAATGTAACTTTTCAAATTGAGGTTATTGCCTTCTACCAAGAAGAATTTTAACTTATAATTCATATTTCTATTTTAGGGAAGAACTTCTGAAAAAACACCATCACTAACTAAAAGAATTGGTAAATATGCTTATTATAATAAATATACTTTCAATTTCATTGCCAACTTTATAGGGTAAAAAGGTAAACATATTTTTCAGGTTCACCAAGGTGTATTTATTTGAGATGAGATTGCTATAAACTTAAGAAGTAACAATGTACCTATAAATATCAGTAGGCTATTTATGTTTTCAGAACACTCCTGTGGAGGTTGGACAGTTACCTTTCCAAGTTTGGAAGGAGCAGCTAACTATAGGTTGTCCATCACCACTTCTGTTAAAATCACAAAAGGAAGGGTTAGATATATTTTTGTCCCTGGGGCTTTTTTAGTTAGCTAGGATCATGAATCCAGTGCTTTACTAATGTGCCCTCACCATAATTAACCTTAACTTACCTAAGTATTTCATGCTATCTTTGTGCCTTTCCCATCTTCGCAGAGGAGTATGGTTAATTTGTTTCATATTACCTCACAGAGGTAAAAGTTTTTATCACAAAGGTTATTTATTTATCATAGACATCTTTAAAATCAGAAATGTAATATGATAAGCAAGGAAAATATTGTTATCCCCATATTTCAGATGAGGAGAAAGAGTCAGAAAGGTTAAGTGACCTGTTTACAGATACATTACAAATCTTTCGTGGATCTAGGGCTATAAGCAAGATATTCTGAATTCTACATCACTACAGATCTCATTCTCAACTGAGGCATCATGTTTCAAAAATAGTAGAAAGTTTAATTTAGAATATGTCTGGTGATTCCCCACTCCCTATACTCATAGCATCACCTATTTAGTATCTTAAGGATTTCAAGGCAAGAGAATATTTATATTTATAAATATGCTTGAGAAAGAGATCCACTTTTATGTAAGTTTTGTAATGGGAATTAAATAATACAGTTTAAGAAATCATTCATTCCAGCCTATATTTTTTAAATTATGTAGAAACAAACATTCTGTAACACTTCTTGATAACCATCCTTACAATGCATACTATTCTTTTTATGATTAACTAGAGGCCCAGTGACTGCAAGACTGACTTCTGCCACATGGGCCCAATACTGACTGCTACAGGGACTGCGATCAGACCCTGTTTTTCTCTCCTAGTCTGTCTGGGCTTGATTGCAGCTCCCTCAGCAGGCAGTGCTGAGGCGCTGAGGCTGAGACACCTGGCAGCCCTCCAGTCAGTGCTGGGTCGCCACGGCAACTCAGGGCTGACTGCAGGGACTGATTTCCGGTTGGTTGAGCCTCCAGTCATTGTGGATGTGACAGACCCAGGGTTTTTATATATTAGGATGAACTTGGTGTTTTGGTTTTTAATCCTAAACCAAAACACCAAGTTCATCCTAATAAATTGAGATGATTTATTTAAAAATATTTACCATTATAAAGTAAATATATTTTGGTGGTTTTTAGTGTATTTACAAGGTTGTGCAACCATCACTATTAATTACAGAATATCACCATAACCAACAATAAACCCCATACCCATTAGCAATCACTTCCCCTTGCTGCCCCCCACATCCAGCCCCAGACAACCACTAATCTACTCTGTCTCTATGAATTTGCCTATTCTGGACATTTCATATTAAATGGAATTATAATGGCCTCAAGGATCACTTATGTTGTACTCATATATGTGTATTTATTGTGGTGGAAAACTGTTTTTGTATGGACAATATATCTTATTTATTCATTTGTCAGTTGGTAGATATAGCTGATACTGCTATCAACATTTATGTACAATTTTTTTTGTGGGCATGATTTTAATTCTCTTGGGTATATATTTAGGGAGAGTTGCTGGGTCATATGGTAACTCTTATGTTTCGCATTTTCGGTAAACTGCCAGTGTTCCAAAGTGGCTGCACCATTTCACATTCCCACCACCAGTGTATGAGGGTTCCAGTTTGTTTTTCCACATCCTTGTTAACATTTATTCTTTGTCTTTTTATTACAACCATCCTAGTAGGTGTAAAGTGTATCATCACGGGTTTTTTTTAGGGGGGAACTTTTAAAAATGTTTTTATTGGTTTTAGAGAGACAGGAAGGGATTGGGAGAGAGAGAGAAACAGATCGGCTGCCTATTGCACACCCCTACAGGGGGTTGAGCCCACAAATTGGGCATGTACCCTGACCAGGAATCAACCAACAATCTCTTGGTGCATGGGCAAACACTCAACCACTGAGCCACACTGGCCAGGCCCTTATCGAGGTTTTGATTTGTATTTCCCTGATTGCTAATGATGTTGGGCAATTTTCATGTGCCAATTGGCCATTTGTATGTCTTTGGAAAAAATGTTCATCTCCTTTGACAGTTTATAGTTGGGTTAATTGTGTTCTTATTATTTAACTAGTGGCCTGTTGTGTGAAATTCATGCACGGGAAGGGGGTGTCCCTCAGCCCAGCCTGTACCCTCTCCAATCTGGGACCCCTCAGGGTATGTCCGACTGCTGGTTTAGGCCCAATTCCACAGGGTTGAACATCCCTCTTATAATCCTGGACCGCTGGCTCCTAACCACTCTGCTTGCCAACCTGCTCATCCCAACTGCCCCCACACACACCGGCCTTCTCACCCCAAACTCCCCCCCCCTTGCCGGCCTACTCACCCCCAACTGGTCCCCCCTGCCAGCCTGCTCGCCCCCAACTACCCCACCATGGCTTTGTCCATTCTGTTCATCAGATTTTTTTATTCACTTGATTTTTAGATTCACTTGTTGATAGATATGTATTTGCTGTTCATAGATTTTATTTTTACCTAATCCAGTCTAATTAGCATATTGCCCTTTTATTAGTATAGGTTGGATATGACATACCACCATAAGTATAACATATCTACCAGTATTACTCCATGAGAATACGTACTTCATGTGATAGGAAGGCACCTAATACATTACATCGTATATGTTGTAAGTAGTAGGAGATACTGTATTCATAGCAATAGTATACACCCTGTGACTAACTGATTTGGGAATGGTTGCCCAGCTCTTTGAACGTTTCCTGGTCCCTGGTGTATTTGGGAATAAAATAGCTCTGAGTTTGGAAAAATTAAATTACAATCATGACTCTAATTCAGCTGCTTCCTGTACTTCCAGCCAGATAACAGGAAAAACATCCCAGGGCCAGCGCTTCCTATAGCTGAGTTCCAGAGTGAGGGCCTGTGGCCCAGCGATAGGTGGGTGACAGCGACTAGAGGCACCTCTGGTCCATCCTGCTGTCAGCCCACCAACTGGGGCCCTCTGCTTCAAGCCCCTCCTGAGCACCGGTGCCTCCTAACGGGGTCCCCCAGGACCATTTTCATTAAAATGTTCAACCCACACCCGCTACATTGGTATCTGCAGGCAATCTGGGGGCAGACAGTGATCCCAGAGGTGCTCACCGGCCCCATGGCTGCGACTAAGACCCAATTCCTTAACCAGGGACCTGGCACTAGGCAGGTGGCAGTGTTGCTTCCTCCCCAACCCACTCTGGAGTGGGTCCCTGTGGTTTTAGAACCAAACTCCACGGGCCTCCCTAGGCAGCAGAGGCCCTGAGCCTGCCAGCTCTCCCTGATCCCGCCAAGGCTTGCTTCTTACACTTGCTGAAAACCTCAGTCCACTTCTCATAGTAATCTTCATCAGGGCTGAGGGGACTGGGCATCAACATCGTTGTGGTGGTGAGACGGTCAATTTGCATATTCTGTCTTTATTGGATAGGATTGTAAGAGTTCTTTTGTTTTTAAATAAATCTTTATTGTTCAGATTATTACATTTGTTCCTCCCTCCCCTCCCCCATAGCTCCCTTCAACCTGGTTTCCATTCCAACCCTCTGCCCTTACTCCCCCCCCACACACACACACACAGTCCTCATCCATAGGTGTACAATTTTTGTCCAGTCTCTTCCCATACTCCCCACTTCCCTTTCCCTCTGAGAATTGTCAGTCCACTCCCTTTATATGCCCCTGATTCTGTTATATTCACCAGATTATTCTGTTCATCAGATTTTTTTATTCACTTGATTTTTTAGATTCACTTGTTGATAGGTCTGTGTTTGCTGTTCATAGTTTTTATTTTTACCTTTTTCTTCTTCCTCTTCTTAAAAAATACCTTTCAGCATTTCATATAATACTGGTTTGCTGGTGATGAACTCCTTTAGCTTTTTCTTATCTATGAAGCTCTTTATCGACCTTCCAATCTGAATGATAGCTTTGGTATAGTAATCTTGGTTGTAGGTTCTTGCTAGTCATCACTTTGAATATTTCTTGCCACTCCCTTCTGGCCTGCATACTTTCTGTTGAGAAATCAGCTGACAATCGTATGTGTGCTCCCTTGTAGGTAACTGGCTGCTTTCAAGATTCTCTCTTTGTCTTTTGTTCTTGGCATTTTAATTATGATGTGTCTTGGTGTGGTCCACTTTGGATTCCTTTTGTTTGGGATTCTGTGCGCTTCCTAGACTTGTAAGTCTATTTCTTTCACCAGGTGGGGGAAGTTTTCTGTCATTATTTCTTCAAATAGGTTTTCAATATCTTGCTCTCTCTCTCTAATTCTGGCACCACCATAATTCTGATGTTGGTATGCTTGAAGTTGTCCCAGAGGCTCCTTACACTATCTTCATATTTTTGGATTCGTTTTTCTTTTTTCTCTTTCAATTGGGTATTTTTTGCTTCTTTGTATTTCAAATATTTGACTTGATTCTTGCAATCCTCTAGTCTGCTGTTGGATCTCTGTATATTATTTTTTATTTCAGTCAGTGTATGCTTAATTTCTAGCTGGTCCTTTTTCATATCCTCGAGGGTCTTGCTAAATTTTTCAGCCTTTTCTAGAAAAGTCTTGAAAAACCTTATAACCGTGGTCTTGAACACTATAGCTAGTCATTTGTTTTCCTTCATTTCTGTCATTTGTGACCTGTTTCTTTGTCTCTGCATTTTCGCTGCTTCCCTGAGTTGATAGAGTGGCTTTGTGTGCTAGGTATCCTATAGGGCCCGGTGGGTTGGACTCAACAGTTACCTGAGGTGGACACTCTTGGTGCACCCCTTTGTGGGCTGTGTGCACAGTCTTGTTGTAGTTAAGCCTTGATTGTTGTTGGTCTTGCTGGGAGGAATTGACCTTCAGGCCAATTGGCTGTGAGGATCAGCTGTGTTTATGCTGTGAGAACTTCTGTGCTGAAGACACCCTTATGAGGCAAGACTTGCTTCAGTGGGGCTTTGGTGCTCACTGAGTCTTCCCCCTGAGTTTGTCCCTTATGGATCTGAGGAGTTATAATCTGAATGGTCCCACTCTGACCCCTGGGTACACTGGCTCTTGCGTCTCCAAGGAGGTGCTAATTTAGCCTCTGCCTGGGGCCACCCAGCAGGATCTATGGAGAGATCTGCAGATTCCTTTTCTTGTTTTTTGGATTTTGGAAGTGCCCAGATGAGGCTCAGTTGTGAAGTAATGCAAGCTGCTGTGGGGCTTTGGGCCTTTTTTTTTTTTTTTTTTTTTTTTTTTTTTTTGGTGTTCTGGGGCTCTCTGACTCAGCTGAAGTTTGTTAGGTAAGTTTAGAATTCAGAGGACCAGGCCATTCATATACAAAAGCATCTGCACTCAGCGTGGATGGGGCGGAGTTACAGGGCGGATCAATCAGCAATGGCTTTGTGGGGTGGGATCGCAGGGCAGAGCAGACAGAAATGGCTTCCTGTCAGCCCTGATCTAAGAGTCCCCTGGGTCTCAGTGTCCTAAGTAATTGCTGCAAGCACCTCTGAGAGAAAGCCGCCCTCGAGTTTAGTCTGCTGCCAGACCATCCAGTTTCTCCCCTTATGAGTCTGGGTCCCCAGAGTCTCACCTGAAATGGAGTTCAGAGCAATTGGGAGCTTTTGTCTTCTTCCCAATTGAGAAAGCCAGCCATGTAATCAGTTGCCACTCAGCCAACTTTGCTATGGTTCTGGATGATGTCTGTTTTGTCTTTTAGTTGTAGTTTTGAAATTGTTGTGCAAGGCATCAGTTTAGGTGTTTACCTAGGCCACCATCTTGGTTTCAAGAGTTCTTGATATATATGTTCTAATTCTTTTTATATGCAAGTTCCTTATCAGATACATGATTTGCACATATTTTCTCCTTTTCTGTGCATTGTCTTTTCATTCTTGTTGGTGTCCTTTAAAGCAAACCTTGGTTGTGGGCACATCCCCAGTGGAGGGAGAGGGGATGTGCAGGAGCCCGCTGATAAATGTTTCTCTCTCATCGATGTTTCTAACTATGTCTCTCCCTTCCTCTCTGTAAAAAAATCAATAAAATATATATATTTAAAAACCATGATGTTTTACTCCTGTCTATGAGATTCATCCATGTTGCCTATGGCAGTAGTTTGTCCTTTTTTGCTGTGTGATATTTGAATATACCACAGTGTACTTAGCCATTCTCACCTGATGATGGATATTTGAGTTGTTTTCAGTTTGGGGCTGTTATAAATAATGCTGCTGTGAATAATCTTTTGTATGTCTTCGGTAGATATGTGCATCATTTTTAATACCCCAGAGTGGAATTGATGAATCAGAGGGTATTAATATTCTCTTTAGCACTTTCTTACATAACTGGTATTCCTATTCTGAGTACTGTTAAAGTGAATTTCTGTTTGCTTCCTTGTTTTTACCTAGTTCATGCCCTTTAGCTATAAAAACTAAGTCTAAGAAATAGGAAATTCATACTTTAAAGGTTATAGACTTCCCCGTTTCCCATTATTTTTTCAAATTAATTGCTAGGGACACAGTAAAGACATTTGTTCTTTAAGTGCCTTAACGTAGTTGTCGGTGTGTATATCTGATTTGGAAAATGTTCAGATTTTTTAAGCGCTTAGCCCTTACCTGTTTTACTTTATCTGGCACTATTTTATAAATTCTTTAACAAATATATTTATTTATTGACTTTTTACAGAGAGGAAGGGAGAGGGATAGAGAGTTAGAAACATCAATCAGCTGTCTCCTGCACACCCCCCACTGGGGATGTGCCACAACCAAGGTACATGCCCTTGACCGGAATCGAACCTAGGACCCTTCAGTCTACAGGCCAACGCTCCATCCACTGAGCCAAACTTGTTAGGGTTCATCAAGTCTTTAAACAACCTAATCTCACCTCACAGTGATCTAAAATACTCACTGCATTTTCATTTATTATAAAATTCTGAAATTGATCCATCAGTGCCTAAATATCTTAGAGTAGTTTGGGTTTGCTGGTTTGTTTTTGGTATATTTTCTTCCTTAAATTTTTCTTTTTAACTATACTTTGTGTTGAGTTCTGTTAATGAAAATAATTGTTTAAACTGTTCTTTTTGCTCACCAATTTTTATTTCAGATGATAACATCTTTCAAAGTCCTATGATACATGAAGCTATACGAATGGGATTCAGTTTCCGAGACATTAAGCAAAAAATGGAGGAAAAAATTCAGACATCTGGGAGCAACTATAAATCACTGGAAGTTCTGGTTGCAGATTTAGTGAGCGCTCAGAAAGACAGTACACAACATGAATCAAGTCAGACTTCATTGCAGAAAGGTATGCTTGGTTAGTTTTTAAAAAGTTACACCTAATAGTACTTCATTATGGGTAGTATTTTATTTGGTTTTGTGACCCATTCATTTCCCTCCTCACATTCCCCCTTAGAATAAACAATTTTTAAAAAATATATTTTATTGATTTTTCACAGAGGGGAAGAGAGAGGGATAGAGAGTTAGAAACATCGATGAGAGAGAAACATCGATCAGCTGCCTCCTGCACACCCCCCCTACTGGGGATGTGCCCGCAACCAAGGTACATGCCCTTGACCGGAATCAAACCCGAGACCTTCCAGTCCACAGGCCGATGCTCTATCTACTGAACCAAACCGGTTTCGGCAGAATAAACAATTTTTTTACTTTTTATTATGAACAATGTCAAGGAGCCCTGTTGATGTGGCTCAGTGATTAAGCATCAACCTTTGAACCAGGAGGTCACTATTCGATTCTCGGTCAAGGCACATGCCCTAGTTTCAGGCTTAATCCCCAGTGTGGGGTATATAGGAGGCCACCAATCAATGATTATCTGTCATTGATATTTCTCTCCCTCTCCCTTCCTGTCTGAATATATATATATATATATATATATATATATATATATATATAAATAATTATATAAAATAGAGCATAGCCGAAATATATATATATATTTTATATATATTTTTAAATATATATATACATTTTAAATGTCAAACACAGTCAAAGTGGAGAGGACAGTATAATGAACACTGATGTACCCATCAACCAGCTTCAGTAGTTTTCAACACTTTTCCAATCTTGTTTCATTACTTCCCCCAGTGTGGTTTTTTTTGCTATATTATTTCATAGTTAATCCCAGACATCCTATATATCATTCACCTATAAATTCTTCAATAAGTATCTAACAGATAATAATTTTTTAAATAACCTTAGTACTATGTGTTAGTCTGCTTGGATTGATATAACAGAATACTATAGATAGACAACAGACCTTTATCACAGTTCTGGGGCCTGGGAAGTCCAAGATCTAGGTGCAGGCAGATATGGTTCCTGATGAGGACTTTTTCCAAGCTTACAAATGGCTGCCTTTTCTCTGTGTCCTCACATGGCTGAGAGAGAATTACTGGTTTCTTTTCCTCTTTATTATATATTTTCCTCTTTAACATATTTTTATTGCTATTAGAGCGAAAAGGAAGGGAGATGGAGAGAAAGATGGAAACATCAATGATAAGAATAATTGATTAGTAACCTCCTACACACCCCTCATTGGGGATTGAGCCCATAACCTGGACAGGTGCCCTGACCAGGAATCTAACCGTGACCTCCTGGTTCATAGGTCGATGCTCAACCAAAGAGCCACACTGGCCAGGCTATGCTCTATTTTATTTTATTTTATTTATTTATTTTTTACTGATATTTTACAGAGAGGAAAGGAGAGAGATAGCTAGAAACATCGATGAGAGAGAAACATCGACCAGCTGCCTCCTGCACACCCCCTACCAGGGATGTGCCCGCAACCAATGTACATGCCCCTGACCGGAATTGAACCTGGGACCCTTCAGTCCACAGACCGATGCTCTACCACTGAGCCAAACCAGTTTCGACTATGCTCTATTTTAGATAAAGAACAACAAAGGCTAATTTTTATCATTGTGTGTAGAATAAGTTGAAACTGGGTTTAGAGTGTTCTGCAACTTTTCATATGAGATAAACATATAAAGGGATCATATTACTAAATAGTGCTTGAATGAATGACACCTTAATACTGTGCATCATATATAGAAAGTGTATTAAATAATGTAGAAGAGAAGCATATAACTCCTTTCACGAAAAAAAAAAATTAAAAAAATAAGAAGAAACTGAACATAAACTGTGCACCTATGGATGAGGACAATGGGAGGTGGGGAAAGGGCGGAGGGTGGGGTGGGAACCTGGTGGAGGGGAGCAATGGAGGGGGGGAAAGAGGAACATCTGTAATAATATGAACAATAAAGATTTATTTAAAAAAATAGAAGTACATTAGATTAAAAAAAAATACAGGTTCCTCCTTTAAGGATGACTGCTACTCTGGTACTTGCCAGCTGCACTGAAGGTTAAAGAAAAGGTATCAGACTGAATACATTTATTATAATTACTAGATGCCTAGTGCGCAAAAGTCGTGCATGGGTAAGGTCCCTAGGGCTGGCCGGCAATTGGCCTATTTGTGGCACGATGGGGGTGTCCCACTGGCATCCACCTTGGCCAGCCTGGGGCCTGTGGGCTGGGGGGCAGCTTCTGCATTGAGCGTCTGTCCCCTGGTGGTCACTGCACATAATAGCGATCAATTGTCCCACTGGTGGTTTGGTCAATTTGTATATTAGGCTTTTATTATATAGGATTGTTCTCTGAGCTCTTGACCACTTCTCCCAAAAGATGAGAATTTTTGTAGTACTAAATAAACCTAAATATTTACTTAATTTTTTATGTTAAAGATCCTTGTGATCTTTGTCATTTCAGATGTCTTTGAAACATTACTCAAAGAATTACAAGTCATAAAACAGTATAACATTAATGATTTTTGAAATTACATCAGTTGATGTAAAAGATCCAGCAGAAAGCCTAAGATTCTTTTCCTAAAGTTGCATTTATTAAAATATGTAATAGCTCTACTTGCCTTAGCCATGGTAAAATAAATCATTTACTTTGTTATCTTTGTACTGCAGTAGAAATACAAGTGATTGTGTTGTTTTTCTCTGTATCTTAACCACAACTCAAGCTATTTAAGTTTGAGAGTAAGGTGTTAGTTTTTATGCCTCAAGTGGTCTGCAACAGAAGGATTTTATAGGTTGTAATAGGAAGAGAGTCAATGGGTTCTTATTATCTCAGAGACTACAAGCTAGGATAGTGAGGGAAGGAAGGTCTAAGCAATGGCAGCTCCTAGGGGCAGGGGTTGCAATTTATTGGTTAACCTCTCCTTAGTCTCACTAAATAGAGAGACAGATTATTGATACTGGCTATCTTCTCATGCTAGGGTTGCTGCTTATTTCTCCTCTCAAAGGCTCATGAAGAAAAATGGCACTAAAATGTTTTCATTCTAGCCGAAACCGGTTTGGCTCAGTGGTAGAGCGTTGGTCTTTGGACTGAAAGGTCCCGGGTTCGATTCCGGTCAAGGGCATATACATTGGTTGCGGGCACATTCCCGGTAGGGGGTGTGCAAGAGGCAGCTGGTCGATGTTTCTCTCATCGACATTTCTAGCTCTCTATCTCTCTCCCTTCCTCTTCTCTGTAAAATATCAATAAAATATATTTTAAAATAAATAAATAAAATAAAATAAAATAAAATGTTTTCATTCTAGCCTGGCCAGTGTGACTCAGTGGTTTGAGTGTCGACCCATGAACCAAGAGGTTTCTAGTTCAATTCCTGGTCAGGGCACATGTCTGGGTTGCAGGCTCGATCAGCTGCAGGAGGCATGCAGGAGGCAGCCAATCAATGATGTTTCTCTCTCATTAATGTTTTCAGTCATTTAAAAATGAATTTTTAAATTCTATACAAAATAGCAGGTGGGCCTAATTGAAGTAAAACAGGTATAAATGGTTTTTGGTTTTGTTTTTTTTTTTTTAGAAAACTACAGTGTCACTGTTGCTTCCTAGGAACTCCTAGATTGAATACTAGCTTTTATCCCAGTGGTTGTATGACCAAAAAAGCCCCAGTAAGTAGTATTCTAAAAATAGTATCAGCCCTAGCTGGTTTCTCTCAGTGGATAGAGCTTTGGCCTGAGGCCTGAAGGGTCTCGGGCTTGATCCCCAGTAGGGGCATGCAGGGGGCTGCCGATCAATGATTCTCATCATTGATGTTTCTATCTCTGTCTTCTCCCTTCCTCTCTCTGAAATCAATAAAAAATATATATTTTTTAAGATTTTAAAAAATAAAATAATTACATAGTATGATATAAAGTCCTTTATTTTGTCCCAGCCGGTGGTGCTCAGAGGTTAAGCATTGACCTATGAACCAGGAGGTAACAATTAGATTTTAGATCAGGTCACAGGCCCAGATTGTGGGCTCAATCCCCAGGAGGGGCTTTGTGGGAGGCAGACAATCAAATTGTTCTCTCTCATTGTTGATGTTTCTATCTTTCCCTCTCCCTTTCTTTCTGAAATGAATAAAAATGTAGTTTTTTAAAATTACCCTGTTTTGAGCCTATAGTTTTGATGATGCTCAGATAGTTGCCTTTGAAGAAAAAGTAGATTAAATAATCCTTCCTTATACCCCTAGGGTAGTGTTTCCCAAAGTGTGGTACGCATACCCCCAGGGGTACGGGAAGAGTTTGGTGGGGGTACGCGTTGCACCGGAGTTTGGTGGGGCTATGCACTGCACCGTGCTTAGCTGCGCCTAATTCTACGTTCTCATGAGTACGAGGGGTACTCAGCGTTACGAAAATTATAGAAGGGTACACATATGTCAAAAGTTTGGGAAACACTGCCCTAGGGAAACCTTTTTGAAGCATAAATCTCAACATATCTCTCTCCAAGTTAAAACCTTCATTGGCTCCCTGTGGATCAAGGTCAAGCTCCTTTACATGGACTGCCAAATATTTCATAATCCGGCTCTTCCTAAACTTCTATAGCCTTATTTCATGCTATTTCCTCTTCAAATTCTATTCCTAAGCCTTACCTGTGGACTTGTAGGCCCTGTTCTGTCTCTTCCTTGGACCCTACTTATGCCATTCTTCTACCTAGAACACCCTTCTTCCTCTGCCCCTGTCCCCCAAGGCCTCTCCCTCTCCCCAGTTTATTCCTACTCATCCTTTAGGACTCGGTTTTAGGTATACTTTCCTCCAGGAGGCCTTCTCTTTATGTGTTCAAACATGTACTTAAACCCTTCCTGTGTTCTTCATAACACATTGTAACTACTTTTATCATTACACTGTACTATAATTTCATGCTTTCTTGGGTTCCTTGTCTGTGAGTGATCAGGGACCCAGAGTCTGTCTATATATATATATATATATATATATATATATATATATATATATATATATATATATATATAAAAATAAATTGCTGTATCTCTAGTGTCTAGAACCTATTTAAGAGTTCAGTATCTGTTGAATAAAATTAAACCACTATTTCAAAAACTTATTTTATAATAGTGTTCCCCATTGTTGTTAGGTAGGGAAATGCATTATGAATTTCTAAAAGAGGACAAAAACTATATTATACTTCCCTGGACTTGATAGTAGTGGTTTCCAAATGCCAGTAGGCTCAACCCCCAAAATTTTAGATTCAGTGAATGGAGCCTAGAAATCTATTGTTACAAATGCTTCAAGTGATTCTCATGTGAAACCAGATTTGGAAACCATGGTATACAGTGATTACAAAGATTGTTAAAGTATGTAATACATTTGGAATAGTGCCTAGCTCATGGTAATAACTGCTGTATTACTGTTAGCTGCTGTTATTGTTAATTGTAGTTATAAGACCACAAAACACATTTTTGTGGCATATGTGTTAATACTTTGCAAAACCTGGTTTGGGAAAGGCTGAATTAAGCAAAAACTTCAATACCACCCATATGCTGATGACACCCAAACTTCTATCTCTAATGTGACTTTTGACCTCAAGATTTGAATCCACATTGGCCTACTAGACATTTTATATAGATGCCCTACAGACACCTCAAAAATATCTTGAAAATCCCAAACCTGTACTTTCTTTTATATTTCCTATTGGCATCACCATCGTCTTGTCAGCCACACAAGAAGTCTTGAAATCAACTATATTTCTTCTTTCTTCCTCATTCCTCACCTCTAGGCAGTCATCAAATCCTACTTGTCCCACTTCAGAAGTGCCCCTCAAATCCGTCCCTCCATTTTCCATTTCTGGAATAAGCCATGCCGTTTCATTCATATATATATATATATATATATATATATATATATATATATATATATACACACACACACACATATAGTTTTCTTGATCTCCAAGAGGGAGAAAGAGAAACATCAATGATGAGAGAGGAGAACCGTGACCTCCTGGTTCATAGGTCAACACTCAACCACTGAGCCACATGGGCCAGGCGCCATGCCCTTTCTATACACTACTTCTTTTGTGTAACCCTGGCAATTGCTGGACATGATAAATGTCATTCCTCTACTTTCCACTCCCCCCTCCTAGCAGCTGCCAACCCGTGAAGCTTTCCCCAGTTAGTCTGAATAGAACTTGTTCTCTCATCTTGTTCCCGAGCACTTTGTAGATAACTTTATTATAGGACTTATCACTTTGTCCTTTATGCTTACTTTTATTGTCTCCGATCATGTTCTTCTCTCCTACTAGCATTTGAGCTACTTAAGAGCAAGCAGATACCATGTGTGAGTCATCCTATCTCCTAACACATGATTAGTACCTGGCACATAGTAGGAGTTCAAATTGTCTCAATGAATTTAAACAACTAAGAAAGTCTATAATAAACTCATTTCTTTTCTTTTTGTGCAGAGATTAGTGTTGAAGAGCAACTAAGGCTCCTGCAAGAGGAGAAGCTTTGCAAAATCTGTATGGATAGAAATATTGCTATGGCGTTTATTCCGTGTGGACATCTGGTCACTTGTAAACAATGTGCTGAAGCAGTTGTTAAATGTCCTATGTGCTACACAGTCATTACTTTCAAACAAAAAATTTTTATGTCTTAATCTGCAGTAGCTGTGTTATATTCTTATTACTCTGATTGAATATGTGATGTGAACCAAATTTAAGTAATCAGCATTGAACTCCATTTAGCATTTGCTACCAAGAAGAAAAATGTAAAACTGCAGTGTTGTAATTGCCAATCTAAAATTTGAATTTCTAGACTTTTTTTTAAAATATATTTTATTGATTTTTTTTACAGAGAGGAAGGGAGGGAGAGAGAGAACTAGAAACGTCGATGAGAGAGAAACATCGACCAGCTGCCTCCTGCACACCCCCCACTGGGGATGTGCCCACAACCAAGGTACATGCCCTGGACCGGAATCAAACCTGGGACCCTTCAGTCCGAAGACCGACGCTCTACCACTGAGCCAAACCGGCTTCGGCGAATTTCTAGACCTTTCATAATATTAGCTCTATAACCTATTTTTTTCTATTAATTGAAACCCTAGACTAAGAGGCATCATATTGTAACTGATCACAATGTGTATTTGTTGTGCACTGACTTGGCGTTTAAGTGTAAGTGAATTTCAAATAGGCTTAACATTCTGTGTAAACGTGGATATTAATATCCCCAATCACATAATTTGTTTTGTGTGAAAAAGGAATGAACTGTTCCACACTGGTGGATAGAGGTTATTTTTAGATGTTAGTCTTTGTATTGTAGATTTTGTCTATTTTAAAATTATACATACATACTTGGGTGGATGATTTTTGAAAGATGATTTTTGTCATTGTTAAAAGGGTATCTAATGATAGCATGCCATCTAGCCTATGTGCATTGACATGAAAGATGTCAAAGCTATAAATCTAAAATGCAAGTGACAAAACACTGTGTATCAAATGAGCTAAATGAAGGTTGTGTGCGTTTTATATATGTATAGAACAAAGGATTTGGAAAGATGCACCAAACTGTTAAATATGGTTTCTCTTAAGGGGGGTGGGGGGTGGACCCAAAGGGGCTTTACCGGGGCCTTTCACTTTCTACTTTTTTATTTTGTTTTGTTTGAATTTTTGTAAGTATATGTTACTTTTGTAATCAGAATTTTTAGAAAGTATTTTATGATTTAAAGGCTTAGGCATGTTCAAACGCCTGCAAAACTACTTATTGCTCAGCTTTAGTTTTTCTAATCCAAGAAGACAGGGCAGTTAACCTTTTTGGTACCAATGTGAAATTTAAGTGTCTTTATGTTTGTCCTGCTTTGTGGATGAAAAATCTTTCTGAGTGGTAGTTTTCTGACAGGTAGACCATGTCTTCTTCTCTTGTTTCAAAATAAATATTCCTGATTTTGTAAAATGAAATATAAAATATGTGTCAGATCTTCCAATTAATTAGTAAGGATTCATCCTTAATCCTTGCTAGTTTAAGCCTGCCTAAGTCACTTTACTAAAAGATCTTTGTTAACCCAGTATTTTAAACATCTATCAGCTTATGTAGGTAAAAGTAGAAGCATGTTTGTATACTGCTTGTAGTTGTAGTGAAGGCTTTCCATGTTGAAATTCTCATATAATTTTTGTATTGTAAAGTTTCATGTGAGTTTTTACCGTTAGGATGATTAAGCTGTATATAGGACAAAATGTCAGGTCTTTCCTCTACCTAACTTTTTATTTTCTTGACTAGTAATAGTAGTAGATAATTCTGAAATAAATGTTCTCTTAAAATCCTTAAAAACCTCTTGGAAATCATAAAATATTGAAAAGGAAAAAACAGTTGTTTAAATATGAAAGAGAAAATAAAACTTGAATAAGATGCCATAAACATTAAAAAAAGTTTTAAAATGCTTCATGAAACACCCAGGCTTTATATTACAAGATTCTCACAACAACCTGTTTTAGAGGTGAATGAGACATTTTACTACAGAGAAAAGTTGGAGAGTAAAACTGTTAAAAATTATAGTTGTATTTTCTAAGAGAAAGAGTATCATCATTTTCTCCTAACCTCTGTTGATTACTACTTTAAGGGATATTCATTTTAAAATTGCACTGCAAATTTAAATGAGAATTTAAAAAATAATGACTGTCCTGGTTTTGTTTTACTATTAGTTATATATTCATTAAATTTTACATGTGTAGTCCAAGATTTAAAATTACAAAGGGAGAAAAGTGTTAATGTTTGTAAACTGTGCTTTCAGGACCTGTCTGCGCCAAGTCAAGTAGTTAGTTCAATCTAGTTATTGGCCAGAGACTGAATTGTTTTAACATAAGGCTTTTCCTGTTCTGGGAGCCTCAGTCCATTAAAACTCTTAAAACTTGTGTGTTTAGAATTAAGCAAGACCTTTTTTCTCCCCATGAGTTGCGAAATTTAATGCATGAAGCTGATGTGACTAACAAGTTTATTTTAAGAATTGTTTAGAAATGCAGTTGCTTCAGGTTCTTAAAATCACTCAGCACTCCACCTTCTCGTCAAAATTTTTTTAAAGACTTACCAATGTTTGTCTGTGTTCACACTATAAAAAAGCACTGGATCCTTCCCATCTAATTATGCAAAAAATGTTCACTTGCAAGGTCAAAAATATAACCAGATCCAAATCTCTGCTTCCCCCTTTCCCAGAATAGTTCTCAGTATCTACATGTAGACTTTCCTTTTCTGTATGAAGTTCATGCTAAGATTTCCAAGTGACACCAATTTACTACTTGTAATCACATGAAGAGTCAAGTTTTGTAATAGTTATCTTTGTTTGTAATAATTTGGTATGCTGATCAAAAGCCTTGTCTTAATTTTTAAGAAATGGCTTTAGTGTTTATATAAATTCCAGTTTATTAATTAATGGCCTTTCCTACTAGATTTGTTTTGTGTGTGTGTGTGGTTTTGCTTTTTTTTCCCTTTGGTTAGGGTCTAAGATGGGATAGGGTGGTTGTAATGGGTGTACATAATGTAACCCTAAATATTATGATCTTTTCTTGTTTTTGTTACAATATTTAAATTTTGGTAGTTGCTTTCTCTTGTTTTCATTTTAGTGAATAAAATTGGTACTTTGAATTCTTTGAACTCTCTGAATGGGAGACTACCACCACAGCATTAGTTGCATGTATTGTACCCTTAAGATCCAAATCATTGTTTTATCCTGATTACTCAGGTGTTGCATCTGGGAGAAGGCGGTAGAGGAGTGGGAGACATGGGATTGGTTGTGTATCATTTCCATTAGAGAAATAAAATCGGAGAGAATATTTGACAGATGTAGTTATTTTTAGTGAAATCTTCTTTTTAAAAGAGAGGTTGTCATTTCTTCATCTATAAAAATGAGAGTAATACCTGACTTACAGTTATGAGGGTTCAAGAGATCAGGTATGTAAAATACCTGCTATAAATGTTAATTCTCTTCCTAACACCCTCCTGGTTTGCCTTTGACTTTGGAAATTTGACCTAAAAGTTAGGTGATAACTCTTTCAGTGACTCTTACCTTTTTTTTGGTGTTTCTCATAGTTAAAATGTAAATTGCAATAAATCAATAGGTCAAGTCCTTAAAATATTTACTTTAAAAAAAAAATCTTGAAAAATTTATCAAATTTGGGTGAGCTTTCCTAATAGGAACAATTGGCTAATTCCCACCTTCATAATCAGTTTCAGTTTAATACTTGGCACAATGTGAATTTCATTTGCAGCATAATAGAATTATAGGGGTCAAAGTTAGAAATGACCTCAAGAGAGTATCTAATTCTTCCCCCTCATTTTACAGATGAGGTAATTGAGGCTCAAAGGTGAAGCAAGTGATTTGTTCAGAGTTGTATAGCTAATTAGTGGTAACCAGACTGGGACATAGTTTGAAAGTGAAAAACTTCAAGCTACCTTTCCTGGAAGGCGTCAAAACTTTATTTTTTTCAACTATTCTTTCTTCAATACCATAACTTTTGTCACTACATATTATTTTTTTAATATACATATTTTTTATTGATTTGAGAGAGGGAGAAACAGAAACATCAATGATGAGAGAGTCTCATTGATCGGCTGCTTCCTGCATGCCCCCTACTAGGGATCGAGCAGGCAACCCAGGCATGTGCCCCTGACTGGAATCGAACTCGTGACCCTTCAGTCCACAGGCCAGTGCTTTATCCACCTAGCCAAACTGGCCAGGGCTGTTGCTACACATTAAATGACACTTTATAACTAAGACAATAGGACAATCTTAAATACCTATATCTTCAAATTATACAATACTACATTAATGTTTGGGTGGTAAGATTCTATTTTGAAGTCTAAAGTTTGCAGATTGTGTAAGTATATTTTGACATTTTGTGTATACTTAGTTACAAATTCGTGTTTTTTATTTGATGTAACAGGCTTTTATGTAATTTTTGTTAGAAGTGTTTGCATTTTTTTGTTACTGTTATGCTTTATCTAACCTGAAAGAATGGCTAATTATTATGTCATTGTATTAGTGTTGTGAATAATCATGTGAAATGTTTTGAGATAGAGTACTATATTTGTGAGTATAATTTTATGGCTTCTTCCCCATATAGTAGAAACCTTTCCATCAGCATGGAAAACAAGAAAATTACTTTCCACTGCATAATCTGGCAGTCATAGATTAAAGCTTATTTTTCTGTGAATAAAATGTATTCAATAAAGTACTATTCTTTAAAATGATCTTATTACTTTGTGTATGTTGTACTTTTTCAGACAAAACATAGAACAGCCCTTTTAAAAATAATAAATTACAACCTAAATACACTTTTAAAAATATATATTTTATTGATTTTTACAGAGAGGAAGGGAGAGGGATAGAGTTAGAAACATCTATGAGAGGGAAACATCCATCAGCTGCCTCCTGCAACACCCCCTACTGGGGATATGCCCACAACCAAGGTATATGCCCTTTACCAGAATTGAATCTTGGACCCTCAGTCCGTAGGCCGATGCTCTACCCACTGAGCCAAACTGGTTAGGGCTTAAATACACTTTATGCCATTGTGCCAGGCATTAGGGTACACATCAAGTCATCATTTTAAAAAAGAGACATCCATTTTCACATTAACTTACAGAATTCTATAAATGCATGAAAAGTCAGCGTTTTTTATTTTTTTGTTGCTTTCAGAGAGAGGAAGAGGGAGAAAGAATTATCAATGATGACAGAACCATTGGCTGCCTCCTGCACACCCCCCACTGGGGACAACCTGCAACCCAGACATGTGCCCTTGACCAGAATCAAACCTGGGACCCCTCAGTCT